CTTATTGTTGTTTGTCTTCATAATAGCTGCCATTCTGACTGGAATGAGGTGAATCTTAGAGTATTTTTGATTTGCATTTCTTTTTTTCCTTTGTATTTTTTAAAAAATTTTTAATTTCATTGATTTCAGCTCTGATCTTAAATCATTTCCTTCTGTTAGTTTTGGAATTAGTTTGTTATTTTTCAAGGAACTTGAGATGCATTATTAAATTGTTTATATGCAATCTTTTGATTTTCTTTTTTTTAAATTTATATATGACAGCAAAGTGCATTACAACTCTTTTTTAATGTTGTATTTATTTTATTTATATTGTATTCACATGTATAATTTTTTAAATATTTAATTTTACAACTTTTTAAATGTTGTATATTTTATTTATTATATTCACATGTATAATTTTTTAAATATTTAATTGATTTTATTTTTAAAATACATGTCAGTGAAATGCATTACAATTCTTATTATACATATACAGCACAATTTCTCATATCTCTGGTTATATATAAAGTATGTTCACACCAATTCACGTCTTCATACATGTACTTTGGATAATAATGTCTATCACATTCCACCATCATTGGTAACCCCCTCCCCCCTTTCTTCCCTTCCCACCCCTCTGCCCTATCTAGAGTTCATCTATTCCTCCTATGCTCTCCTTCCCTACCCCATTATGGGTCAGTCACCTTATATCAAAGGAACCATTCAGCATTTTTTGGGGGGGATTGGCTAACTTCATTTAGCATTGTTTTCTCCAACGCCATCCATTTACCTGCAAATGTCATGATTTTATTCTCTTTTATTACTGAGTAAAATTCCACAGTGTATATATGCCACATTTTTTAAATCCAGTCATCTATTGAAGAGCATCTAGGTTGGTTTCACAGTTTAGCTATTGTGAATTGTGCTGCTATAAACATTGATGTGACTGTGTCCCTGTAGTATGCTGTTTTAAAGTTCTTTGGGTATAGTCTGAGAAGAGGAATAGCTGGGTCAAATGGTGGTTCCATTCCAAATTTTCAAAGAAATCTCCATACTGCTTTCCATATTGGCTGCACCAATTGGCAGTCCCACCAACAGTGTATGAGTGCACCTTTTCCCCTACATCCTCACCAGCACTTATTGTTGTTTGTCTTCATAATAGCTGCCCTTCTGACTGGAGTGAGATGATATCTTAGAGTAGTTTTGATTTGCATTTCTCTAATTGCTAGAGATGATGAACATTTTTTCATATATTTGTTGATTGATTGTATATCCTCTTCTGAGAAGTGTCTGTTCAGGTCCTTGGCCCATTTATTGATTTGGGTTATTTGTTTTTTGTGATTAACTTTTTGAGTTCTTTATATATCCTAGAGATTAGTGCTCTATCTGATGTGTGAGGGGTAAAACTTTGCTCCCGAGATGTAGGCTCTCTATTCACCTCACAGATTGTTTCTTTTGCTGAGAATAAACTTTTTAGTTTGAATCCATCCCATTTATTGGTTCTTGATTTTAATTCTTGTGCTATAGAGCCTTATTAAGGAAGTTGGGGACTAATCCTATATGATGGAGACTAGGGCCTACTTTTTCTTCTATTAGATGCAGGGTCTCTGGTTTAATTCCTAGGTCCTTGATCCACTTTGAGTTGAGTTTTGTACATGGTGAGAGATAGGGGTTTAATTTCATTTTGTTGCACATGGATTTCCAGTTTTCTCAGAACCATTTGTTTAAGAGGCTATTTTTTCTCCAATGTATGTTTTTGGCACTTTGGAATGGAACCACCATTTGACCCAGCTATCCCACTCCTCTGTCTATACCAAAAGGAATTAAAAACAGCATACTACAGGGACACAGCCATATCAATGTTTATAGCAACACAATTCACAATAGCTAAACTGCGGAACCAATCTAGATGCCCTTCAATAGATAAATGGATAAAGAAAATGTGGCATATATACACAATGGAATATTACTCAGCAATAAAAAAGAATAAAATAAATGCATTTGCAGGTAAATGGATGGTGTTTGAGAAAATAATGCTAAGTGAAGTTATCCAATCCCTCTCTCCCACAAAAAACCAAAACAAATGCTGAATGTTTTCTCTGATAAAAGGTGACTGACCCATAATCAGGTATAGAGGGGGATCATGGGAGGAATAGATAAACTCTAGATAGGGCAGAGGGGTGGGAAGGGAAGGGAGGGGGTAGAGGTTAGCAATGATGGTGGAATGTGATGGACATCATTATCCAAAGTGCATGTATGAACACACACACACACACACACACACACACACACACAAAGAGAAATGAAATCAAATGAGAGATACATCAGAGTGTAAGAATGCACATATATAAAACTGGGAATGGGAAGATTTTTGTGGAGAAGCCATTGTTGTGGGCTGGGGAAAGGAGGAAGGAATCAGGTGAGTTATTGGCAAAAGAGAATGAAATTTTCATTTTCCTTAATAGGAAGAAAATAAATAATGGCCAAAGTGGGTAATTCCAAAACCACACAGAATAAGCACGGTGTTTTGAAACATGGACACACATTCAAGAAGTAGCAACTCTAAGAGATGAAAGTAGGGAAGGGTCTGTGAGGAACTGACATTGGTGGTGGGTTAGGAGGAGGAGAAATCGGGCTATTTCTGCAATAAGTGTTTGTACTGTTTGACTTTTGAATTTCCTTGTGCATATTTTATCTTCTTAAAACTTAGACATTTATTTAAAAAAATAAAAAAAGGATAAAGAGAAGATCAACTTGTTCCCTCCCTCCCTTCAGAACAGGGGTGTGTTTCCAGGGAAGCCAGTGGAGCTGAAGTCTCTGGAGCATCACTTGCCAAAACTTTGCAGGAACCTAGCATTGTTCTCATGCTCATTGGCTCTTTTAGACAATATGCAAAATTAAGGTATTTGAAATGGAGTGGATTAAAATGATTGCCTTTTCCTCCTCCTGTCCCTCCTCTGTCACACTGTCCCCTCTGTAGAACATTGCTAGGCATTGCTAAGGGGCCTCAGGCTTTCCTGGGATCCAGCTAAGGGGCAATTGGACTGCAGTGACATTTGTTCTGTGTTTAGTGGGATATATTTGTGTGATTTATGGTCACTTCTGTACATGGGTTTGTTTTTACTGGCTGTCTCCTGAGCTGACTTCCAGAAATACTTCCACTGTCCACCAGACTGACTAAACATGTGTCCTAACATAAAATTCTAAAATGGAGGTGGTCAGGTTACTGAACTTGTCCTAGGGTGCGTGGCTCAGGAAGCATGTGAGAACAGTTAAATTTAGTCATCACATAAGGAAAAAAAACTCTGATATCTTAGAGCTCATGTATGAAACACACTTGATAGAGGTGTCCTTAAAGTTCACCACAATCCTGAAATTTCTATAACATTTTAGTTATACAAATATAGAACTATATATAAAGCTATATATAGTTGTGAAGCTAGAAGAAACTTTTATTAATTATTAATTATTAATGAAAATGCAAATTTCAATCAGCTATGCCAGAGTAAGACTGGGTAATATATTTCCCCTGGAGATAAAATTAAACAATATTTAAGGTAATCAAAGCATATGTAGCTAAAAAATGTGGAAAATTTATTGTAGCTATATGCCCCATAATTAATTAATGAAAGACAGCATATTGCCGCCATATGCCAGTATGACTCTGGAGGCTATGGCAGGAAGATTGCAAGTTTGAGGTTAGCCTTAGCAGTTTAGCAAGGCCTAGGCAACTTAATGAGACCCTAAGCTACTGAGTGAGACTCTGTCACAAAGTAAAATGTAACAGAAGGTGGAGGATGTGGCTCAGCACCTTGGGTTCAATCCCCAGTACCCCCCCCCAAAAAAAAAGCATGCTTTTTTGATGTTTTTAGTATTTTATTAGCTTTTGAACATTTGTACTTTATTGTAATTTGTTTCTTGCACACTAATTAAGTTTTTGGTTCACAAAACCTAATCTGACCCTGATGGAGTGCTGTTTATTTTTTCCCATGTAAGATCTTGTAGGAATTAGGAAGTCATGGGGCTGCTGTGCAGGAGATGGTTGGTGAGGGGTGGGAAAGGTCAGGGAGACCATGGTCAGATCAGTCAGAGTAGCTGTTAAAAACAGGCCAAAGACTTTTTGGTTTCTAATTGAGATGGGGGTCATGTAACATAAAATTAGTTATTTTAAAATGTACAATTCATGGCATTTGGAACATCCACAATGTTGTGCAAACAGCACCTCGATCTAGTTCCAAAATATTTTCATCATCCCCAAAGGAGACCTGTGTCTACAGAGCAGCCTTTTCCTGTTCCTACCTGCCCTAGCCCTTGGCAACCACCCATCTGTATTCTGTCTCTGTGGATTTACCTATTCTGAATGTTTCATATAAATGGAATCATTCAACACGTGACCTCTTAGACCTTGGCTAATTTCACTTAGCATAATGTGTTAGCAGAGTGTTTTTGAGGTTTATCCACGTTGTAGTATTATTAGCACTTCATTCCTTTAAAATGACATCCTGAGCAGGTGCGTGCGTGTGTGTATGTGTGTGTGTGTGTGTGTGTGAGTGTGTATTTCAGTACATTTTTTTTTAATGGAAACTAATTTCTACTTCAGCTTAGTTGAGGAAGCATTTATTGAGTGTCTATTACATGCCTGGTACCAAGTTAAGCACTGTCCTATTTTCTTCATCACTATTGGGGAAGAATGAATCTGAGTGTTCTCACATTCAGGAGCTTGTGCCAGACTTCATGAGCCCGAATACCATGAGTTAAGCCTCACAACCCACACCAGCTCTGTGTGTGATTTTACTCCAGGAACTTTTGTCACCCCTGTACCACTCTTCTAGGGTGGGTGGAGATGGGTGGTGATGGTAGCATGACAAATTCCCATCGAGACAAAGATCCAGGTTTAAACTCTCACAGGAAAAAAAGACAAAGATCGTTGTAATGTTTTGAGCAACTAATAAAAAAATTTGAAAAAAAAAGAAATAAGAATTTCTCAACAGACTTTGGAATTCTCTTTGACTCTCTGACAGGATATCTCCCCGTTGGAAAGACGGAGAAGAAGTTCAGGTGGACGGTCACACTGCAAGTCATCAACCTGTTATCCTCTGCTTCTGCCAATCTTTCAGCTATTTGGAAGTGAACTTGGGATTTGTTAAAGCAGTGAATGAACATGTTAAGGAATGTATGTTAAGCAATGAGTGGTCTCCATTTAGATTATTCTCATTTGCTCTTGAACTTTCCTCCATCAGCCGTTCCTTGATTATCAGCAAGTAGGATACAGGGCCAGTGGGAATCAGAATCCAATGAGAACCATGACCGTCCAGGTTCATCTTGCACCTGCCTCGTCAGCAGGGTTTACCTACATCAGAGAAATCACCAATCAGCTGAAGAGTGAGCCGCTGTGGGAGGCGCTCTCACTGTGACCTGGGTCCTGTGCTTCACCATAACACTGGCTTCTTCGTTGAAGCCTCACAACGACTTACTCCAAGAAGAAGGGATTATTGTAACCTGCAGTAGAGATGAGGGAACTGAGACTCAGGAGAGTGGGTGGGTTAATAAGAACTGGAGTTCAAACCCAAGACAGTCTCCCTGCAAGTGTCTTGTTCTTGATGGATAACTAGGAAATAGAACCTGTTTCTGCTGCCTGTAACTGCCAAGGGTTAAAAGAAATATTCTTTTAATTTTAGAACTTCTCAAACTCACCATTGTTATTGCATTCTATCTGTGAGGGAATTTTTTTTTCTCCCCGTATAAGAAACAATCATGTTTGGATTTAAAAATCTATCAATGCATGGAGACAAGGAACCCCAACATACAGCTGGAGAGTGGGGACACTTGCCAGGAGAGGCATTCAGCTTGGAAGTAATTGCGTCTTTTACTTGGCTTTAGCTTTCTGGTATGAGATGTTTGGAAAAGGGCTTTTTAATTTCACATCACTTTCAAACCAGCGGTGTAGACTAGGATTTTGCGTGAGCTGCATTGGGGCATTGATCTCAATAGTGAGGGGAAAAATGGATGAGCCATAAATTCTCCCACTCAGCACCCTGGCTTGGGTTTTCCTTTCTCTGAGCTCCAGATGGGGGCTTCCCTTCCTCTGACTAGTCACTCAGAACCTGCTGCAGCCAGTGGAGTCCTGGAGAGGCTCCGGAAGCATCTGAGCCAGGCCCTGGAGGTAGCGTGGGCTCCTTCTACTGGGTAAATATTTTCTATTTTCTGCTCTTTCTCAGCTACTTTCTTTCTGTCCTGCAGTGGGCAAATTCTGGGTCCCTTGCTCTCCTGGGGCAGCATCACGTGGCTGATCTATGAAGCGACAAGGGAAATTCTGCCTCCTTTAAAATTGTGCACAACCTCTGGACTCTGTCTCCCCCCAGATTTGGGACCAGTTATATATGCACATGTATGGTCCCCAACTCTGGCTTCTCAGCAGCTCCTTTTTGGAGTTTTCAACTCTCCTGGAGAATTTCTTCTCTGCCTGATTTCACATACTCATACCCCCTTTGCCCTTCGATTACATTTCTCTTCCCCTTTCCAAAATATACTCTGCCAGTAAAGTCTTCATTCAAATTGAAATCGATCAAGTTCAAGCTGAGTATGTCAAACATATTTGTAATTTGGTTCCTACTTCAACAGAACACCCATCTCATACCTGAGACAGTTTGCAGCGAACACTGAGTGAGCCTTTCTCTCAGCTTTCTCACCTCAGGGCCTTTGCACATGTTGTTCTCTCACCTAGAACTATTTTCTAGTCCTTCTTCACTTTGGTCAGCTACTACTACTAAGCCTGGGGTGTTCCTTCCTCAGGAAAAACTTGTTTTGACCCCTTTATAGCAGACTCTCTAAACTGGGAGCCCAGTGCATTGAGCTCTGCCCTCTCAACATATTCTGTTTCCTTGAAAGTCTCTCTCACTAAACTCTGAGCTTCTTCAGAACTGAAACTATCCCTTGCACTTAACAGTCACCCATTAAATATTTTTGAATGAATAAAAAATGAAGGGTGTGTAAGTGACCACTATCTTTGTTTCTTTCACAGATCTTCAGCAGGATAAACTCTCAGGTGATTTTGAGATCCATAAAGGAAATTCAGCTGGGAGTGGAGGTGCTCACCTGTAATCACAGGGACTCAGGAGGCTGCGTTTTCTCTAGTTAAATCCACTCTTCTGTATGTGTCTGGCTACTTTGGAGAGGTGTTGTCTTGAGAGGCGAGATCCTAGCAAAGGACCACTTCAGGACCCATTAGTACCTGGACATGCAGAGCTTCCAAAGGTCTAGTTTGATATGAATGAGCAGACCAAGAAAAAATTATTGCAAGACTTTATGGCTGAGATCGAGAACTTTATGGTTGAGGGAAGAAGTTTCCACGGGTGCAGAGGACAGAAGTAGAGCTCTCTCCTTTGCATTTGCTACCAGGCAGCTTGGCACTGGACACCAGGACCCCTGAGACAGTGGCCAGAGGAAAAGCAAATGTCTCTGTTATTTGGCCACAATGAAGTGAGACACTGCTTCTTGATGGCCTTCCCTGATTTTCGGGTCTCAAGGGGAATGTGTTTGCTTGGGAGGAGTTAGGCCACTGGGAAACCTTGATACAAAGGGGTTTGGAGAATGAAGCTTTTAGCTTTTTAGCCTAGTGCACGGGAAGGTGTCCCACATGGGGGTCGGATGGGGGAGCCAATCTGTAATATTGGGTGTAACATGAGATGAGAAATCCAACTGGGGATGATAAATTTAGTACAATTAATCTTTAAGATAGTTCTAACATCATATTCACAAAATATAAATATTATCTAATGTGGTCCTACTTTAATTAGAGAAAAGAAAGAATGCATCTGTGTACCCATGCCTGCAAGTCCATCGACAGAAGGGAGGATCTCTGCACTTCAGAGCTACCTGTACAGCTGGACTGGGTGGCGACGCTGGCCTGGTTTGATAGTAGTAAAAGCAATGACTGGAGTAGGAGGGTTCCTTTGACTCCCCTGGACTCCATAATTTGTTGTTACATCACAGCTTCATAAGCACATGCTCTGATCTTTTTTTCTTACTCTTGCTGGACTATTGAACTTGAGCGTTCAGCACAGCAGGCCTGGCCATGACCTTTCGCTGCAAACATGCTGCCCTCCATCAGGTGGGGTGGGAGGAAGAAGGGTTACACTACCCCTGTCTAGTTGACTATACAGACAGGCTTTGCAAACTACCTCATGCCATGTTCATATAATTATAAAATCTCTGTGTTTAACTTTCCCATGGGATTTATTTTTAAGCAACCAGTGATAGAATATTTCAACACAATAAAAACTTAAGGGACTGGAGAATGTTCTAGGGCAAATGGGGGAAACTCAGCAGAATCCTTAGGTTTGAGTGGGGCTGTGGGTGGAGGATTAAACATAAGCCCATTGAGTGTTTGAAACATTACATTCTGCACTCACCCAAATGAATGATGGGGAGAGCTTGCCTAGGGACTGCTCATTTTGACTCCTGGTATTTTAAGGCCACGTGGTGAGCTGGCCAACTGCAAAGGTTCTGGCCTGGCAGGCAGGCTTCAGGTCCTGGCTCCATTACACACTAGCTTTAAGGGTTGGAAAATATACTTAGCCTTTCTGAACCTCAGTTTCCTCATCTTTAAAATGGGTAATAATAATAATAATAATAATATTGCTTCAAAGGGTCATGATGGGGATGAGATGAGGTGATCTGTGTAAAAGTGCTTAGCCTCACACCTGTTATGCAGCTAATGCTACGTAAATGTTGAGTATAATTGCTATTATATTCAGGCCCTTGGAAGAGCCTTTGTGGTTGGGGTCAGAAACATGAGGCAGAGTTCTAGTCTTTTGTAACAATGGTGCTTCACAGAGATAGATGAAATATAGGGAAGGAGAAAGCAAGATACCAAAATGCTTTAAGATAAAATTGAAGCAACACACTGAACAACCCACAATTAATTGTGATGGCTGAAGAGCACACTCCAGGGACCATAGTCTTTGGAGAAATTAATCAATCACTCAAATTATCATCTTTTCCAAATGGATCTGAGCAAGGCATCTTCAAGCAAAGGTCGTTTGTTAAAGGCTAATAAAACTGAAATCTGACATTAAAATAGGAAAAGAGGAAGGATGTACGTTGTAGATGTAAAGAGCTGGGATTGAATATCCAGGTTCTATCTAGCAATGTCCAAGGACAAATGGAATGTCTTACTTATTTTCAATTGGATTTTAATGGATTGCAGGTATAGTGGAGGAGAAAACAAGATTGTTAGTAGGGAAGACTGTATTTTGTCCATGGCTGGAGGAAGCAGGAAAACTTAGCAATTTAGTAGGAGTTGCAGTTGCTATTAGTAAATTGGCTGATGCTAGTGTGAAAGTGGTGTAAACTGTGAATTGGCTAAGTATTTTGTATGACTGACTGTCTAATACCAGTGATGGGGTTCCTCACCTTGCCCTCTTTCTTTTGTTTAAATTTATTTTTATTTGTTCTTTTAAGTTATACATGACAATAGAATGTCATTTGGCATATCCTTCATACACGGAGTATAACTTCCCATTCTTGTGGTTGCACATGATGTGGAGTTACAATGGTCGTGTATTCTTTTTATGAACATAGGAAAGCAATGTCCAATTTATTCCACTGTCTTTCCTATTCCCATCCCCCCTCCTTTCTCTTCATTCCCCTTTGTCTAATACAAAGTAGTTCTATTCCCCACCCCCATTATGTGTTAGCATCTGCATATCAGAGAGAACATTCAACCTTGGCCCCTTTCTTCACCACCCAAATCCCTACATAGCAACGTCCATCTTCCTGATGGTGAACTGGTAGGTTGGTATGTCTGTCTGTCTGTCTATCTATCTATCTATCTACTTACCTACCTATCTACCTATCATCTTTTCTACCTATCCATCCATCCATCCATCAACCCATCTATCATCCATCTATTTTTATACTATCTATCTATAATCTAAGCAGTAATTTTTGGGTCAAATAGAATGCACAGAAGAAACAGATAGCTCACATGTCCACTCTAGTGGGTGGCTCTTTGCTGGGCCATTGGAGCCCATAGTTTCTGAAGTAGGACATGGAGCTGATTTGAATGAGTTGCTTTCCATTCAGACAAGCAACTAGTCCTGTCTTTCACTAGGTCCCTTGTGACAGGGTGGCGACTGATGAAATGGAGAGTTTGATTCAAGGGTGAACACTTACATGCCTAATTATTCAAGGCCTTCCCTGCAGATCCCATACAATCACCCTGGCTTGTCTCTGCTTGTTGAAACACATCTGAAACTTATCTTCTGAAGCATTTCAAACAGTCTGTTGGTTGGATCTGATGGTTTCTAGGGTGTCGGATGTCTTTTCTTTCATGATCTGTTTTGATTTGAGGAAAATGTTCGTATCTAGTAAATCTGTGCTTGAGAAGTAAGTAATATGACCAAAGGACTTGGCACTGGTTGAAGCAGGTGGTGATTCCTAAAGTGTTGCTACCACAGACTTCAGTGGATGATCCCACGAGTAATAATCACAGGGGGAAGGCAGAACCTCAGTGGATGCAGCTCCTTCCAGGAAGATCCCTCAAGGATACGTCAGCTATTGACTGACTGACCCTAGTCCACAAATAGCCTCATTCATTTTAACAACAGCTTTGAGCAGCACAAAACTTAACCATGTCATTCATCATCTTATCATTTCTGGCAAGTAAAAATGTTCATGTCATTCTGTAATTCCAGAGTTTCACCTAAATTGTCACCTTAAGACTTCTGGCTAATCCTCAAAGCAAAACAGATCATGAAAGAAAAGACATCTGACACCCTAACCATTCTTGTTATTTTCCTCTTGTCTCTGTTGGAGGTCTAATCAATGGCCCAGACATAATGGCCCAGATGCCATCCAGGACTATGCTATTCCTTGACGATTTAGTTGAAATTGATTAAACCCCCATCTCTATAGCTGGTATTTTCTCTGGAGTCTTCTTTATCATTTCTGTGACTTTATGGATCTTACTTTTTGTCTGGATCTTACTTTCTATCTTTCTTCTCTTTGTCTCCAATGTGCTTTTCTCTGCCCTGATTTTTCTTCTTCTTTTATATCAGTCTAAGTTGGATCCAAAGCTGTATATCATCATTTTTCATAAGAAATACATTCACACGAAGGGTTTTATGTTCTTTTGAGGAGGGGGGAGATAGATTCTATCCTAGATATCTGGAGAAAGCATGTGTGTGGATTATCTGAGTGTCATGGGGAGATAATTTCTCCCTTCAGCACAGCCCTTGACCATGTAAATCACTCAGCCTTTCTCTGCTCTTGTATGGGGTGCTGCTCTTTCATCCCCAATGACCCTTTCTACTCCCTAATTTTCTGGGAACATGTATTAGGTAATATTAAACTAGCAGCAACAATCTCCAGATTCAGAATGGCTCAAATATGATAGAAAATGATTCTTTACTAAGGTTCAAAATGGTGTCGCTGATCAGCAGATGCCTGCTCATCCCGCTCAATTGCTGATTCAGCCTCTCAATCTTCCTCCATCTCCTGGCTCAGCCATTTTCAACATATGGCTTCCAAGGTCAACTCTCTGCATCCTGCTGGTGGAGAAGAAATGACTTTGGAAATGTTGCATTACTCTGTTCATGTTCTGTTGGCTGGAACTCAGTCATGTGACTGCCTTAGGAGAACTGGGAATGGTAGTTTGGCTGGCTTCCTCAGAAACAGTGAGTTAGGCACCCTCCAAGATGGTCCCGGTGGTCCTTGTCTTTGGGTGCTTATGCCCTGGTTAGTCCCCTCCCGTTGAGTGATGTCCCTGCTGATTCACTTCCCATGAGCAGAATACAGTAAAGGTTCCTAGATGTCTCTTTTGTGATTAGCTCACAAAGGACCATGACTACTATTTTTCCAGGAGATTCTCACTCTTGCTTGTTTGGATGAAGTGGGCTGCCATATTGGAGAGGCCCAAGTAACAGAAGCTGAGCATGGCCTGTGGTCAACAGACAGCAAGGACCTGAAGCCCTCAGCCCCAAAGCCCAGAAGGAACTGAGTCCTGCCAACAGTCACTTGCTGAATAAGCTTGGAGACGGAGCTTTCCCAGCTGAATCTCTGGATGACTGTGCCCATCTGACACCCTCATTGCATCCTTGTGAAGCCAGAATTAGACAGGCAGTTGGTATAGGCAGGTTGGACCAAGGAGGCCAATTTGAGTTGGAGGGATTGAAATACCTTCAGAGCCCTTCCTCTACCCTATCAAGATAACCTACCCCTACTCCAACCTGCTGTTAAGGTAACCTGTCCCAGGAATTTCCCCTCCCTATGGGGAGTTGTCAAAGTTGTTAATTAATGTGTCCTGGGCTCCTCCATTTGGCTCTTCCCCCTTCCATCTGCTTCTCACCTTTTGGCCATCCCACAGAGTATCTCCTAGGCCTCGTCATGTACAGGAAGGAGAGAGATAAGGGGAAGAGGGCAGGAGAACAAAGGAAGCCTAAGACATATAAAAAAGCAGAAAGCCTTGCTTCTTGGGGTAACAGGATACCAACTAGGGCCCCCTTCTTCCTCCTGGGAGAAGTCTATGTTACCCCCTTTTAAATAAGCCCTGCTTTATATGCTTGCCTCTGTGTGCTTCTCTAATGTTATACTTCAACGTGTGAGGAGGCAGAACTTGTTCACCAGTAACCTGTGGAATCACTGGTGAGGAACCCTAAAGCTGTTGACCTGCCTAAGCTGGGTCTGGTTTCCTGGCCTCTGGAAACTCTCATGAGAGATGTGCATTGTTTGAAGCTGCTATGTTTTGGGGTAAAGTATCAACAAAAAAACTAATATATAGAGAAAACTGGATTATGAGGAGCTTGCCAGTCCCTTGTCATGGGGGAAACAGAACTTTTGGGGTGCTTTATACCTTTAGATTCCCATAGACTGTGGGTAAATGCATACACACTATGACTTGACCACTCAGTCAGGACTTTCACATTCAAATTATATTAGTTTCCTACCATTGCTCTAACAACAAAGTGATTTTCTTTCAGTTTTGGAGGTCAGAATTCCAAAATGAATCTTATGGGGCTAAAGTGCAGGTGTTGCAGGAGGGTGCTCCTTCCAGAGACTAAGGTAGAATCCATTTCCTTGCTTTTTACATCTTCTAGGGTCGTTCACACCCTTGGCTCAAGTCTCCTTCCTTCATCTTTTAAGTCAACAATCTTTGGATCCCTGACTCTGATTCTTCCTTCAATGAATTACAAGGGCCCTGTGATTGCAAAGGCTCATCTGGATAACTCAGGACAATTTCCCCATCTGGAGGTCCTTATGGCATCTGCAAATTCCTTTTACCATGTAAGGTTCTGGGAATCAGGATGTGCCCCCCTTTTTTTCTCTGTCTTTCTCTGTAGGATTATTTTGTCTACTACCTCCAAATAGGATTTTGTGTTCCTTCCTGGTTTCTTCTTGCTTAATAAGCAGCAGCATTAAAAATCCAAGAGCCATCACTTCTGGGAAACACCATATAAATTTGAGGAAATCTGACATTCCTGGGTCAATTAGATCTGTGCTCTTTGCCATCTTAAGTCTTTCTTCCAACCTATTCTCTCCTTTGGGGAGCTCCATTTTTAGGAGCATTTAGAGGATGGACAACATTTCCATCCCTGGAAGCCAGAAAGAGGGTAGACAGGATTTGACAGAGGGGGAAGTTGAGTTTCAAAGGAGCAAACAACTTGTCCAAAGTTGGAAGTAGGAAAGCTGAGCTTGAATGATTCTTATTGACTCTAAAATCTCTTTTTCTTTTGTAAACCTGGGAGTTCAATTTAAAGGTAGGAAATAGGAATTGACATGTGAGCAGAGACTAAGGATCTAATCTGATTTCAGACTATTAAAAATGGGGAAGGTAGAAACAGGAAGAAATCCAAACTAGCTAGCTAAAAATTGTAGAACCTTTTGAGCAACAATTTTTCATTTATAAACAAAACAGATTTATCCGTGAAACTAAGAGGCAGGAAATCAACTAGTTACTATCAAGCATAGATAAAATTTCTGAAGAAAGACATAGGCAATATTGTTCTCATACTAGTGTTTGTTTGTTTGTTTGTTTTTTTTTTTTTAGTTTTCAGTTCCTTTGCTGATAAACATAAACAAGCTACACTCCACAACAAGTCTGATATGGTCCTTCCAACTACTTAAGAATTGTGCACCTTCTGGACATTTCTAACAACCAAGAAGACATTGTCACATTTTATATCCTGTAATTTGTTTGTTTTATGGGAATAGAATTTGTCTCCCAACTGTAAAACCCCACTATACTGTTTGGATCTTGTTTTCAAGACATTTGGCAGAGAATTCCTGCCCATGCAGAGCTGTAGTGTGTCTGTGCACAATTCCACTATGGTACAGTGAGGAGGTTCTGTGCTTGGCTCAAGTGTAAATGTTTGGAGGATTGCAATCATTTTCTCTCAGTAAAATATAATTTACTGCTTCTGGAGCAAAAACAAAATTAATAAATGATATAGCACGCAAAACTGTCTTGGCCTTGTACTGCTCAGCAGAGTTTTAGTGAGTTACACTTGAATGAATGGGAAACACATGGATGAGATGTCCCTGGTGGCTACTCTGGACTCAGAGATGGAAGGGGGGATGTGCTTCACTAAATGCACCACATTTTTCTGAACACCAGGTTTGAAAATGTGTTTGGATTATTCCCTGGAGCCCGTGGAAGACTAGCCTTTCTCCTCTGTCCCTAATAGCACATATTGGCAAGGTTGGTGGGAGCTCCCCTGTGTCTGTGCCTGTGGCCAGGGGATGAGAGCGGGGGTGAGGAGAGTAGAAAGGGACAGTACTAGGACTCTTGAGCCTTGACAGTAGTGATGCTGAGTTAAAATTAGGTTTATTTCTTCCTTTGATATAGAATTGCACTCCAGGGACTTTTCTCGGAAAAATTTCATAATGAGCCAGTGGGACCAAGGGATCTTTCCAGAACTTTGAGACAATGAGGGAGACTCTGAACACGGGTTCTCATTGACAGTTGGTTCTGCCATGGGCCAGGAATCTGGGTGTCAGGTCCTCAAAACCCAATCTTGTTTCTTTATTGATAGAGGAGGGTGCTGACACTCTCTCTTCTTCAACTGTGATAGATAGTAAAGTTACCTTGTCTGGAATCCTCTCTCCTCCTGGACACCTCATGCCTGATTACTTAAGGCAGGTGCTGTTACAAGATTCCAAAAAAGACATTTCCTCAGAGGAGGAAAATGATCCACTCAAGGTTGCCCAACTATCAGTCGCAGAGCTGAGCCCCAGAGTGATTTATTCTGAGCCCCAACAGCCACACAGGTGACCTGGCTGAGCCCTCAAGATGCTGTGAGCAAACTGGCAGGAAGCGTCCCCGTTTTCACCTCTCCTCTCCCCTGAGCCCAGGAGCAGGCCTTTCTCCTTGGACAGCCACACTGGTCCATTTCTTCTTCCCTCACTTTCCTGCTGGTGAGTCACTGAACAATGACAGGCTCCGTGAATAGGCTAGTGTTTATACCCTGCTTTTCTCCAGCCGGACAGACTTCAGGGTGGACATTCCATGCGTGTGGGTGTCCAGCTTAGACCCGGATTCCTCCAGCGGCGTTGGTAGCATTCTTCTGTTATTTCTGCTCAGTTCCTACCTGTTTTCCCTCCTGTTGGCCACACTGCCTTTATAGCACCAGAAAGGTCCTTTCTGAAGGATTGAAGATGCGATTCTTCAGTTTCAGGTGAAAGCAACTCCCTGGAACCTCACGACTGGTCACTCGCTTCTCGGAGATTTGGCCAGAGCCAGCACCCAAATCAGTGCATTCTGGCTGGGCCTGGGCCTTGGTCTCTTCTTTTAGCTTGTGACATTTATTCTGCTCTCTCATTTGTTTCTGGTGACTCTTGCTTTTGCTTTTGTCCAGGATTCTCTGGGACTGTTGGTGAACCTCTGCCCTCCTTTTCTTCAGGTGACATCACACCCCTGGCCTTCACCTAGTTCTTGTCACCATCTGTGATTAGGTGGGCTCGGGATTCTCTGTTGGTTCGTCTACAAATGGGAACAGCATACGGTAGCATACAGTGTCGAGGGGAACAAAGCAGGCTGGCATTGAGAGCCTTGTCTCTGAGCACTCATCTGAACGAGATGACTGAGCACTCAAGATGCTGTGCGCAAACTGGCAGGAAGCGTCCCCGTTTTCACCTCTCCTCTCCCCTGAGCCCAGGAGCAGGACTTACTCCTTGGACAGCCACACTGCTCCATTTCCTCTTCCCTCTCTTTCCTGCTGGTGAGTCACCGAATAATGACAGGCTCCGTGAATAGGCTAGGGACTCTTCTCGGAAAGATTTCTAATGTACCAGTGGGACAAAGGGATCTTTTGAGCATTTTGAGACAATGAGGGAGACTCTAAAGAATCTCTAAAGAAAGTGAAAATTCAAAAGTTGAGTGACTGGTGCAGGGCAGGATACAGTGGAGGAGTATGTAGACAACGGTTTTGAGCTCTGTGTGTGTCTAAACCAGGGGGGATTTTGCCCCTCCAGCAGACATTCAGCAATGGTGAGAGATGCTTTTGGTTGTCTCCACTGGAGGGAAGGTGCCGCTGGCCTCTGGGGACCAGAGCTGCTGCTAGATACCCTCAAGTGCACAGAATAGCCCCCCACAGCTAAGACTCATCTGGCTCAAAACCTTAATAGTGCCGAGGCTGAGTTCCTACCATAGATGACAAACTATGCACTTTAGACTCAAAGATATGCAAATATTGCTTTGATCTTTGTAATACTAATATCTAGGTATCAATAATAAAATCAACATTAATATCAATAATAAAATCAACACTGATATCAATATCAATATTAATGTTCGAATGACAATTTTATTAAGTGCTTCTTATGTGCCAGACAAATATGTTAATGAGTTGAATCATTACAATAAAGCTTTTAAATAGGTACTTTTACCATCTTTATTTTATATAGGATGGAAAGGCTTGAGAGGTTACTTGGTTGTCTCAAGCCACATACAACTACCCTTGACTGCCTCTCATTCTGGTTCATGACCTCTCAATTCTCATGTGAGTGGAGGAGATTTGGGGTGAGCTGGTCAGCAGGAGGCTGTCCAGGTCTTCTGAGGAGCCTGGCAGAAGTTCTAGCAGCCATGTGGTCTGGAGAACTGGGATAACCAGTCCCCCCCTTACTTGGTGGTAAATTCTGGCCTCTCACCTTGGATTCCCCCCTGTCTAGAGTTGTTAGGGACTCTCCAGTGGGAGAGTGAGTTTGCTATATTTAGCCCATCGCGAGGGCTTTTCTACTGACAGCTCTATCAAGGTCAGTGATCAGTGGAAGTAGGAAGAGAACAACCTGAGATAGAACAAAGCCTATAATCAAAAGATTCTCTCCTTCTTTTCCTGCTGAGGAGGATCTTCCAGGGTCCCATAGGAATGGATGCAGGGGGTTGGCACAGCAGACTGTGGGCACCGTGGACACATTCATCACCAGGAGGTGGGGGTGGAGCACAGATAGTTCCTGAAGTCTTCCAACGCCTTCCTTCCCCGAAGGCGCTGACCCTCTAATGAGCCATTTGGGAGGGGGAAACCTCCTCGAGTGTATTTTTACATGGGAGGACTTCCTGTGGCCAAGGGAGTCGCCAGTGCGTCAGTTGCCTCTGTTCATTGTGCAGGGGCCTCTGGCCATCTGGACCACCCAGGGCCAGTGTTTTCCTAAGGAGGGCAGGATGGAGGAGAGGGGATTGACACCTCGGCCCCAAGGCGATTACCAGATGGCAAGATGCTTGTTTTCACTGGATGATTCAGAACAACCGAGTCACCCCAGGAAAGCCAATCTGATTTCGCCTTCAGCATCGAGCTTCCTCCCCTTGCAAGATGTGAGCTCTTTCCCTTCAACAGACAGCAGCAAAGCCTGCCTCTAAGGGCTGAAAGCTAATTGTCTGAATCTGAGATGCTGACAGCATGGTTCAGCATCCGCTGCACTTTCTGGTGTGGCCAGGGAGTTCTGGGGTCCAAGGTAACTGAACTCACAGGGGCCAACCCCGGCAAGGCGTGAGGTAAGACGGCTCATGGAGGGAAGCCCAGCTTTGTAGACAAATTACAGAAGTTTTCAGAACTTTACAAAGTGGGCAAGATAATTCCTGCCTTATCGGGTTAAATGAGATATCATATGGGAAGACCCTGGCCCATGGTGGCTTTCGGTGGAGTTAATTCCTGTTCCATTGTGATGCTGCACTGGCCTTGGGGACAACTGTCCAACAATTTTCTGATGTGAAACTTCAAACATAAAGGGTATTAGAATGCAGACGTGCTAAAAATTGAAGAATCCATTGATAAATATACCAGAATAGGTGTGTATTCACATGTGTGCAAAGACTGCCTTCTCTGTTATTTCAGTGACTTCCAGCTCCTCCTCTGCTTTGCAGCCCATGGCTGATTGCTCACACCACTGCCTGCAGGCTAAACTGCATTAAATGGGGACATATACATGACAGTGCCTTGCCTCTTAGTAATAAGCTCATTTTCATTTTTAATATTCTTCCCTCAAGTTTCATTTTGTTTCAGAATCCTCCCCATGCTTGTTCCTATATATGCATATAAAATAAAAAAAAATAGAACACAGGTGGACACAGGTCTAGGAAAGTTTTATTGCAAAGAGCAGAGGAATTCTCGGTCCTTTTTTCCCTGCCCCCACGGGATTCCCAGCAGTGAGGCATCAGGCCAGTAGAGGGCGCCAAAGCACAAGGACAGGCGAAGGCCGCCTGTTCTCTCCAGGTTTCATTGTGTCCGTGGGAAACACGTGGGCTGGGAAGGAAGCCAGCTGATTCAGGCCTGATCCTTTGCCTCAGTCACTAATTTCCTTCTTTCGGATACTTAACTTGGTGGGTGAATCATCTGGGGGCAGACAATGAGGGAGATTTGAATCCTAATGCCCTTAGTTTCCTGATCTGTAAGTAGGTGACTGGGATGATAGTGCCCCTTACATACAGTCACACCGTTTTGAGCTCTTTGTGTGTCTGAACCCTGCGATGGGCACGGAGATCTATGAAGCAGTCCCCGGGGTGATCCTGGTTTGATGGATGAGGGAACTGAGACAGGCATATGTGATACTGGGATCATATGAGGATTGTGGATGGGGTGATGGACAAAGAGTGTGGTTGGGGAAATAGATGGTAAGTAGGTGCTGTCACTACATGCATCAAGTGTACTTGTGGTAAATGGGGACCATTACTGCATAATCTGATTTTATAGTTTATTGCATTACATGGGGAAGACATGCCACAGAGACACAGGACATGTTTAAAGAGGACACAGCACACCCCAGCACTGTATTAAGCAAAGGATGATTTTTTTCTTCATTTTTAATCTCTCTTTTCTGCTTTACTTGTTTCTATTTAGATGCAGAGTCTGGAACCCCACAGAATGGGAGGCCACAGGGGACGGGTAGGAGAGGGTGTCCGCAGCTCCTCATCCTCCTTCTCTAGGTCCTTTGTTCCTGCTAGATACCTTGGTAGCTAGGGATTCAAGTATTGAAATAATTTTGTCCAGTCTCAAGTAAATTAGTTTCAGGGGGGAAGAGAAACATTGAATAAAATAGTGGGGCCTCATGACTGACAAACTCCTTTGTAGGATGCCGTTGTGTCTACAGGGGAGAGAAACACCAGGAGCCATGGCGGAGGTCAGAGTGGGGGGGGGGAGCAGCCAGAGAGGACTTCCTGAGGGAGGCGGTCAAGGCTCAAAGAAGGAGTGGGAGTGGATGAATTTCAGCCAGATATTCTTGAAAGCAGGAAGATAAATACAGTCTGAGGTTCTGCCTGGAGTCCATCAAACCCTTCACTTGTACTTAAAACATGACAACGATGTTAAAGAAGTTAAATTCCCATTTCGCCTCTCTGTCTTAAAACTTTATTGTTATTATTTTTGTTATTATTTTCAGACTGTCATTGATTGTCATACTACTTTTTATAAATTTCTACACAGTTGAAAAGTTTACTATATTGTGCATTTAAAACATTTTGTATTTTGACATGTTAATTGTGGTTTAGTAAATAAGTCACAACTCTGAATCAACCTGTCCTGGGGAAGGGGCTTCTTTGTACACCCGATAAACTCACTGAACTTGGGCACATTTCATAACTTCTCTATGTGTCAGTTCCTCATTTATAAAGCAAAGAAGATAACAGTAATCACCTTAGAGAGTTGTAAAAATCAAAATAACTTGAGCTGGGTGTGTTGGCGCATGCCTGTAATCCCAGCAGCTTGGGAGGCTGAGGCAGGAGGATCATGAGTTTAAAGCCAGATTCAGCAACAGCGAGGCGCTAAGCAATTCAGTGAGACCCTGTCGTTAAATAAAATACAAAATAGGGCTGGGGATGTGGCTCAGTGGTCAAGTGCCCCTGAGTTCAATCCCTAGTACCAAAGCAACAACAAAACAAATAAAACCAAAACCCCAAACAAACAAAAACAAAAACAAAAAACTCAAAGTATGGCTCTTTCCTGGTGATGATTTTGCTTTGTGGAGGATTTAGCAATGTTGAGAGATGTTTTTGGTTGTCACACCTGGGAGGAACTTTCTATTGGTACTGAGTGGTGATGCTGGCCAGGGATGCCACTCAACTTCCTGCAATGCACAGGACAGGATCCCATGACAAAGAATTATCTGGTCCAGAAGAATAATAGTGTCCAGGTTGCGAAATCCCATTGCACACTGAGAGAACAGAATCCGACACGTAGGAGCACCTAGTAGTGAAATTATTATACCCTAAATGTTTGAAGGCTATAACTTGACATTTAAGAACAGGTGTGACTGTAGTCAACTTCTCTATATTTTCTCCTGTTTCTTTCTTCCACAAATCACAACTGTAACCAGACAAGTTCACTTAGCATCTGTTGTGCCAACCCTGAACTGGGTCCCAGTCCCTCCACCATGACTGGCTCTTTCCTTAGCTGCAGCTACCTCCTCTCAGACAGACCCATCTTCTCTGTGAAAGCCCCATAGTGATGACTTATCCTGGTGTGTTCAGCAGCTTTCTGTTGCTGTGACAAAATACCTGAGGTCATCAATTTATAAGGAAGAAAGATTTATTTCAGCTCTTGGTTTCAGAGGTCTCCATCCATGGTCACCTGACCCTTTTGCTTTGGCCTTATAGTGAGGCAGCACATCATGGTGGAAATGTGTGGTGGAGGATACCTATTCACCTCTCAGCAACTGGGGATCAAAGAGAGAGAGGAAGGGCTCAGGTCCCAACATCCCTTTCAAGGTCATGTTCCCAATGACCCAACTTCCTTCCAGTAAGCCTTACCTCCTAAACCTCCTGCCACCTCTCAGGAGCACACAGAATGGCAACCGTGTCATTAAAATTAGGGCCTTTGGGGACCATTTAGGATCCAAATCATAACATCTGGGAACCCATGTTGTTAGGGACAGTCAGATGCAAATGGTGGGAACATGCAGCTCCATAACTTTATGACACCCCAATGACAGGGCTGTTTCTTCTGCGTGCGGGTTTTGTTCCTCTTTGAACAGTCTGGGCAAGCCCAGAAGGAGTTGGTCTGGGCCAGGCCCTGTGAGAGGCCCTGAGCGCACGTGTAACTAGGAACAGTCCTGTCTGCACACTGTGTGCTATGGGGCAGGGGTTTATTAAGTGCCCAGCAGAGCCCGTGATGTATGATGGAGTGAATCTTGGCGTCTGGCACGCTGGGAAGGATGAAATCTACACTCTGATCTTATGAGCTGTGTGGCTGAGTTCAGGTGATGGATGGTAAGATTCTCACCTCTAGGTTGGATGTGATAAGGAAAAGGGCAGGAGAGTGAATACTTAGACACTGCTTTAAAATGTGGGTTCTCTTCTGCCCCTGTCATAGTTTGTCCAGCTACGTTCTGGTCCAGCAGGATCCCTGGTACATGGCCCACCACCTACACATCAGCCCCTCTCGGGGGTCCCGCCTGGTTCTAGTAAACATTCACTTCCCCGCTGCTCAGAAACTCTGTTTAGGTTGCATGTCCGTGGTGTGGAGCCAGTGCTCCGGTCTTAAGTGGAATTCC